ACTGGCCTCACACGACTTCCATCGATAGGATGAGCAAGGCCTTACACGACTTCCATCAATAGGATGAGCAAAATTGAATGGATCTTCCACTGGAACATGGAAAACCTGCTCACACGACTTCCATTGCTGGTTGAATCTTCCAAACACCTGCTCACACGACTTCCATTGCTGGTTGAATCTTCCAATTGACAGCAAAATGCGAAAAACCACCCACCAGACTAGTACCATAAAAGCGCCCTGGCCCCTCCCCTACCCGAACCCGCACCTGTTGATACATTTTTTGGCAGTGTTTCCCCACCAAACGCAGCGAGAGATAGACCCAACCTCATGGCCGCCGGGGAAAAAACTTCCTGCGGCCAATTTCACAGGACACCTCCTGTGGCGTCCAAACAACCTGCGTGCCTTATTTTCTCTGGGGCCGAAGGGACCATCTTACAGGGAGTAGATAGATAGACAGATAGATAGCATATAAATGGATAGATAGAAGAAGACAGATAGATAGATAGATAGATAGATAGATAGATATAGACAGATAGATAAACAATGCACATTGGCACCGAGTCCACGGTTTTGCATTGTATCTATGTCCTTCGCCAGGATTCAAGAGCTGTGTATTGTGCGTATTCGGTGGGCGCCACTCAGGTTTGGACCTAGGTACCAATACAAGTACATTGTCCCTCGATCCAACTTTTGAAGTCATCTATTTCATTCCCTCGGGATGCAAGAGTGGTGTACGTGTCTAACACACACACACACACACACATACACACACACACAAGGCACACACACACACACACACACACACAAGGCACACACACACACGTACACACACACACGTACACACACACACGTACACACACATATACACTCACACACACAAGGAGATCCGTTGGTGCTGATAGCGAGAAAGTGATGACGGCAGCCTGTTGCTTCCTGCTGTTAGTATGCCCTTGTTATCCAGAAGTGACGGCACCCATGTGTTGCTTCACGGTGTTGGGACTGACCGAGCATTTCAAAAAAAAAAAAAAGCACTTACGCCATCAAGTACCATCAACATTCTCAATTTCATCTTTGTTCTGTGTTCCCACCCCACGTCCTCCCACCCAGCCCCCCCCTTTCCCCTGACAACGCTTAATAACCAAAGAGAGATGGGTACATGGGATCACTTTTCGCCGTTTTCTTTTTCCCCCCTCTTCAGTTGCCTAACTCCGTGCACTTCCAATAAAACAATCACTTACCATTGACTGCAAACCTCCATCTCGCACGAAGTTGAGGATGACGTCGTAGATGATGTGGCGAACGAGGTGACGGATGATGCCCGGGACACCACTGCATCACATTCAATGAATCCTTTCTACAGCACAGCTGCAAGAATGCTACGCCATGCAAACAATCGATTAACCAATCAGTCGATAAGTCGACCAATCAATCAGTCCACCGATTGCTACACCAGAAGGGATCAGCAGATCCCGGTCCGCACTGCGATTGCCTGCATCGGTTTTGCCCCCCGCTCATCAACAACGTTCACCCTCACTAAGGACCATCCATCAGTGCACCATGTGTCAATTCCAGATTCCTTTCCTCGCTCCAATGTCGTGCACATTATATCCTCCAGTCCCAATCGATCATTCATCCAATCAATCAACCAATCATCACTGAATCATGACCACAATGCCTACACGTCGATGGACAGATAAATCAATCGGTGCAAAGAAGGACACACTGAAAACACTACAACGCTGTCGTCGTTGGCTCCTCTTTATATGTTTTCTTTCCCGCCTACAAACCCGCCTCACTCTCTTCTTTTCTCAGCACTTGCTAAACAATAAACCTTGCATCCGCAACATAAACAAATATTGATCAATCACTCGATAACTAGAATCAAGCGATCCGCAAAGTTATTCACAGTTTGAATGGCAGACGAAAAGAGACTCCATTCTATAAACAACACCTGCTGCGCCACAATCGTAGCCGTACGTTTTTTGCTGGTTTGGCCAATCATTCATCTGTCACCAACTTGCCGCCTGCTGCGCCACAATCCTAGCCGTAGTGGATCCGATCCGGATCCGCTTGGCGCTTTCGCCGAACACCAGTGCTTTCCCAGCTAGAGAATCAAAATTGCGGCACCGATGCTGGCCGCCACGGCGCCCATATATACAAAACATGTCACATCTGAGACCCTTTTAGCTTGAATGGACGTCCAGCAACACAGCCCCAGTCTTCCCAAGAGTGGCGGCATTGTGCACGCCGCGGCTTCCACATGGAATCTAGTTAATAATAATACCGACACACTTGGTTCAAACGATAAAACAAGAACTGCCGACTTCCGCGATAAAGCAGATAGATACCATACTACGATGCGCTTTCATTATAAGTATATATATATGTAACAGTATCGACCACTCTCCCTTCAGATCTTCATCAACTTCTCGACTTCACATGAGTAAAATACCTTCTTCAATTCCTTGTATATTCGACAGAGTGAAACTTCCCGACTAAGCAAAACATACCAGCGGTACTCGAGTCCTCTCCGAACACTACGAGATAGTAACCTATCATACGGCTCTCTATTCTACTTGCTTCGTAGTTCCAGTCTTCGAGTGATCGAGTTGAGTGAGGCCGAAGCAAAAGCCATAAGAAAACGCAAAGAGCGCCCATATGATCACGTATACAGACGATTTATTTTTAGAATTGAGCTAATTTCGCCAGATTACAAAATACATACGTATATGACCTTTCCCGGAAGGGTTTGCCATGTCACTCTCAGCTACATTCAAATTTGCTGCCTGTCGTCCGGAGATGGGTCATTGAGGACAGCTGACGGATAATTCTCTCTCTCTCTCTCTCTCTCACACACACACACACACACAAGCGGGGGGTAAAATCGGACAGATCCGGAAAAGGAGCAAGACGGAAATAAGGTCAGGATCATAGAGGGTTGGGTATGGCAGAACGGGGGAGTATGGAGATGAAGTGGAGCAGCGGAACGGGGTCCATGTAGGGTCAAGAGGGCGATGTGGCTCTCTCTCTTCCATTGGTGTATATGTTTGCTCCATCTTTTGCCTTGGCGAATCAAGTCTCGTTCGCCGGATTGGATGATGGATTCATTTATCTCATGCATGCTCCGAACTGGCTGTTTTCAGTGAATGTCAAATTCGTGTGCAAGTGCCTGCATTGCAGAAATCACACGCGCAAAACTAAAACACCATCACTCGCATATGTGCTGCCTCCTTGGTCACCTCGACAGAAAGCTTAGTAGCAGGCGTGTTTGGTCGCTTTCTTCGTTCACGAGGGGCTTCCTTGATAACAACCACTTGTGTTTCAATTTCTTCAGGTCTGTGTTTCGTACGGTTCGGACGATTAGGAGAGTTGTCCTTCAGGTCTATTTCCCTTTCCTGTCCATTTAATTAAACCTTGCGAAGTCCTCTTCTTCCTGCCAACCTTCCATTCTGAGATTCTTTCCCCTCCCACTCTCTTTCTTCGTCCACTATATCGGCGTGCGTCTTTACAGTTTCGGACTTCCAGTCTAAAGTGGAAGTGGCTTCCTTTGTGAACCCTGCCAGAGAAATCAAGAGAACACCACTGTTTCATGGCAGTAGCCCTTCTCCACCTTCGCGGATGACGAGTTGAGAGGTGCAACCAGGTATGTTTCGGTGTTACAGGGCGATCCCGAACACTGTTTCTCCAAATTGTCACCACCCCTAGACGCAGTTTCCATCATTGTTCAAAACACGTCGATGATTTCGATCGATAGGGTACGTACGAGACGTGGCCAGCAGTGAAAGCTTCTCTTTTGGAGAGGCAATAGAAAACAGTTCCGTACTTGGTGCTCTCGCCGGTTCGAGGATAATACCTCGAGGCCATGGCCTTTTCGAAAAGAAAGCGAAAAAAAAAAAAAAACGATCCACCTTACGAACTCCACTGTAAGTGGACAAAATGCAGCCTTACGAACTCCACTGTAAGTGGACAAAATACAGTGCAGTGTTTCGGGCCAAATTGCAATTATATAAATCGAATTTACGAAGACAACGGTTAGACCTCACAGACGTTTATGGAATGACAGTCCATACAACAGACACCGGAGTACATAGTCGTTAAAAAGAATTGGAATGTAAAGAACATTGGAGTATTTATTCCTCGTTTATTCATTGTATTTACTAGTTCGCATGTACATCCAGCCCTGTTCAAACCGCCAGTACACGGCCCCATCCCCGCAGAAAACGGCGAACTGCCGACTCCGGGCTTTTCGGGGCTAGGGGCTTCACGAGCACAATGGCTAGCGGTTCGAAAAAACTCAGCGCGCAGTGCAGCCCCCAGCCCAGGAAAGACGATGTCGAGCGGTTCGGAAAAGCTTGGCGTGCAGTGCAGCCCCGAAATCACGGCCGCGTTACTAGAGGCAGCATCAATCCCATATATGCTGCCTCTTTCTTGGTCGGGGCTCGAGCAGCCATTTCCGGGCTTTTCGCGGCTGAGGGCTGCACGAGCACAATGGCTAGCGGTTTTGAAAAGCTCGGCGGCAGCCAAGAAAGAAGGGAGTGCGCCGCCAGCAGTTAGGATAAGTTTGTGCAGCGCCTCCACGCCCGAGTGTATTGTTGGTTCGATACGCATCGGTCAATTCATCGTTGAAAATTATCGACTTCCATGGTGTGACCAAATTAATCGACTCCAAGCCTACGCAGAACCATACCACAGCTGCAGGTAGTACACAAGCTGCTTTCACCATCTTTCGCTGGCACGATTCCTTTCTTTTGGTAAAGGGCGACGGTCTTAAGATATAATCATTGAGCTGATCGACCCCGGGGTAATTCGGAATTGGTGGCATCTCATTCCTGATTGGGCATGTACTTCTACAGTCCGAGGGTATATACCAAACTCAGATAGCCCCGCCGATACCACAATTCCTTTTCCCTGAGCTGCTGCCCCAGGATTATTTCCCTTCCTCGATACTTTTTTCCCCTGAGCTGCCGCATTGGCTAACACGAACTATTACAGAACACATAGGACAAAAAGGCATATCACAAAAACAAACACGCGAGTTTCCATGATGATCACTTCAGCTACTGGCCATCACAGAACATAAATCCATAAAAGTAAACGGTACTGATTGTCAGTACAATCCAAAGCCACGTGCACTCACACAGCCAGGTCAGCAACAACGCCACAACACGGCCACACTCTCATCATAAATACCTCTATTTCTCTTTTTTGTGACACTTCGACACACAACAACAAATTAACACAGCGCTGAACTTGAGAGTGCACTCCGGTAATACAAGGGCAAGTCCGAGTTCATGAAAAGACACCACCGACAGGTAGCAGTGAAGCTCGCAAAGCACTACGACACTGGCAGGGGAGTTCCGAAAACGTTTTTCGAGGGACGAGCAGAAAGTACTGATGTAAAGAGTAAAAGATCATCCGTAAGCGTCAGAAGGACGAAGCTAACGCCTGCACGTCCACACGCAAACGGTACACTGGAGCATCTTCACATCTGCATGGACTGAGACTGAGTTTCGTCATTCCCAACCGGGCCTGACACTCCTCAAAATTTCATTAGGGCCAAACGATTACAGCTTTCTTTGAGCACATGTTCCCTGGCCCACGGCTCAATTGAATCGGCACGACTCGAGTCGGACACACATCCCACCGAAAGAACAGAACCAAGGTGAAGAAACCTTCGCACAGAGACAGAGAGAGAAAGAGGCTAGCGACAGGAACTCGACACAACTTCCGTATGAGGCACGCGCGCAATGTACAACTGGCCAACTTCAATCGAGGGGCAAAACGAGTATATTCCGATTCAATTCGAATTGGATCCGTATTTTCCAAAACACGTAGACGTCAATAGATTACTCAGGCCGCGAAAGCGCTCAAAACACCATAAGACGTCGTTGGACTAGTCCCCCGTTCGGCCGCTCGAGGATTACCCACCAAGAACTCGGTGAGCCCCCCTCCGACGCATAACACCTACCCCCCCCCCCTCCTCCCATTTATCAACTTCCCGCAGTGGCCGCATCTTGAACCCTCCGCAAACGTCTCGTCCTACTCTAGTCCCCCTTTCTGCGAAATGAGCATCCCTCTGTCAATCGAGCCCTCCCTCCAGTCGGCTGGCAAAGGACCGCAGAGCAGCTCCCGCAGAGCACAACAGTCTGAGAGTGACTGAAGACGGTGGTGCTGCACACGAGATACATTAAGCACAAAAGGACAACCAAGCTGTCAGCCAAGAAATAATGTTCTGCTAAACCAACTCAAAAAGAACGGGGCAATCATGATGTGCGATTAACCGCAACAACAATTCAAACAACAATTAGTACCTGCTAAAACCTGCCATGCACACAGCTTCGAGCACGTCAATGAATGGTCACACAGCTTCCACGTTGGCCTACGTCGGAGTCACCATCAACTGCATGCACGCAGCGAGGGCAATCACAGGCGCAGAAAGCAGTGCTAACAGCGTTCCCGCCAAAAAAAAAGCCAGGTCGGCACGCCTCTAGCACAACCAGGCAAACACCACACACCCAAGATTAACGGAACGAAACAGGCCTTCCGTTAAAACATGAAGGACATAGAGAAGACATAGGCATGCAGCCTGCGAAAGGATCATGAAAGAATTAAAAAAGAATTAGACAAAGCCGGCCCGGGGATGGGGGGGGGGGGAATAACGAGCAAATGGGAGACAGAGATCGTCGACTCTCCCCTTCTATTTTTCCCAGATCAGGAGCGCACATCTTGGACGCGGGGATCAAGAGCGTTGAAACAGATCCCCCCTCACAGCGCTCCACTTCACGCCCTGTCTATATACGTTCTTCTATGTTCACAGACGCAGAAGTTACGTACACCGTCGCCTGCGAAAGCTATTTATGTCCGAAGAAAGGGATGAAAAAAGAGAGACGGTGAAGGAATAAGAACCCATGAAGGCAGATAAAGCAAAGGAAAAGGCCTGCAACTTAGTCGCGGAAGACAACGGAGACGAGTTTTAGCGCAGCTGGCTTGTTTCCATGGTTCAACGCCGTATCAGGAAATCACTCTCCTCGACGACGAAACCCTAGCGCTGCAAGAATGCAGGTCCGAAACTCCGGACACGCGTGAGTGCGTTGGAGAAAACGTGCGAGGAAAACACCATCCATACGTATAGTTGCGGGTTTGCAAATCCTGAGACGCCCAAGTTGAGAAAAGGGGTGAAGAACAGCGGTGCACAAGGCGTGGCTAGATTCTACTGACTACTCAAAGAGCTAATTCACACCCGGCCTCTCTCTCTCTCTCTCTCTCTCTCTCTCTCTCTCTCTAGCGCGAGCGCGCAATAGTAAGAGTTTGATGCATTGGCTCGTACGGCATTGCACACAAGTGCCGTCCACATGCGCGTCTGAGAGAGGTTCGACGGCTCATCGTGACGCAAAGATGTCCACGGAGAAAGGCTCTGTGCCTCGTTACACACGGACGAAGATCAGCACACTTCCGGCATCGAATACCGATTCGCCACGTCCAACGAGGTCGGTGATACTTCACAAAAAGATCGAACGTGAGCCGAAAGCTCCCTACCCTACTCCCTGCTTCGCACCCACCTTCCTGGGAAAAGGCGGTAATTTCAAGGATTGTCCTGATACGCTCGGGGATGAGGGAATGAAACTACAGATAACAAACAGTACATGACTTCTGGCAGAAGGTACCGAACATCGAGTACCCCTACTGGACAATAAACTCTCGAGTATCATCGAAGACGCATCAACAACGGTTCGTGATATTTGTCCCTCTCCGATTTATCTTCCCGTGTTCAATTCCCTATCTCCCTCCGCTGTACTCGTGATTTGCTGGGGAAAGGGTTTCTTTACATTACAAGAAGCTTATTCGATGAAGGCTCTGCGCAGTGAGAACCTTGCAAGAAAAACATTAATGCGATGCTCTTCGAAATACATACCTTATTTCCATGCAGGACGTCATAATTTATTCTTATTCGAGATCATATAAAAAACAATAACTACTCTCTCTGCGCAGCCATGCACGCAGGAAGTGAGCTTCGCACTCAACGAATGCAATACCAAGCAACAGACTCGAATTCCCCGTTTCTAATCACAACACATAGCAGCTTCCCTTCGGCAGAGAGATGCTGCAGTTAACGACAGTACAGGTCAGTAAGGGCCTCGCTCCACCACTCAGGACATCCAGAAAACGACAAAAATCATGGCGTTGTATCTTTCCATGTTCTACCAAAAGATACTCTCGTTTTGCCCATGTCGAGAGTAGTGGAGAGAAGCACTAGATCATCACATCTTCCACATTGCGTGGGCTGCGTTCACGAGGTCGCTCATCAACTTTCTTTAACATCACGCTGGGCCGCACATCAGATAGAAAGGACTCCAAACCAAAACGAAGGGGACCACAATGTAATAAACGGACCGACTCATCAAACCACACATCAAAACTAAACACCACTTGAGTACTCACATGTTGAAGCAGCCCTGGCATTTGACATCCATGAAGAAACTGTTAGGGCTTTGCACAAGCCTCTTCAACTTGTGCTTCTTCTTTTCCGACTCCGCGGGCGGATGCAGCAGATCGATATCGTTGGAGAGCACCTGATACACGCAACAATCACGAACATTTCCAGTACGTTAGACATTTCCCGGAAACATTAATGTATTTCTGAATACGAGCGAAAACCAGTGAGCTATACTTACCAGACAGATACTACCTCTCACGTTTCCGATTCACACAAATAAGCACCATGCTTCCAAATGTACGTTCAACACCTAACACTACACAATAAATAATTTAGAGCGACATGCAGCTTGATTCATGCCCGAAGACAACCACCTCTGCAGATCCACAAGTATTATATCCGTCCTTCGGACCAACGTGAGTCATCTAGCCAAGCTTCCCTTCATACCGTGTGACAAAGATTCTCGACCCACCCAAGAACACGGCTATCAATCAATTTCCGTCGTACCCATCGAAGAAGCTTCCCTCAACCGTTTCGCAAACCAAGAACGCAGCTCTCGATCACAATAATTTAAATATTCAATTACGTTGCCGACAGTAAGAGCTCGCTGACGATGACCGTATCCAATCCACACTGCTCAACTCTTAAGAGAAGAAAGAGAGCATCATGACAAACCTAAGGACCTAGCCTAATGATAAGAGAACTTGGAAAATACTCGGCCTCCATTGCGTGAACATCACAGAAAAGACTGCGCAGTAGCCAGATGCCGCCTGCCATTTATCACGCATGATAAACACAGACCCCTCCGAAGGAGAGTTACGTGATTTTTTTCTGACACTCTGGGAGATGATTCGCGAAGGCATTCCAGAAATTTGGACGGATTGAAACTGATCACTCCGTCCGCAACTTCATCGCCTCGATGATACATTTTCTTCACAAACGTGGGTTGCCCGACACCCCATTTTGGGTGCCTTAATCATTTTTCAGATGACGCGAAGAAAATCCAGGACTAAAGATACGTGGAGTTAACGCCCTTTCCCGATTACAGGTGAGATTGTCAGTGAAGGAGCAAGGAAGAAGTGCTCAGGCCCCATGCCGTCAGGGATAGAATTCGCCAAAAGAAAACGATGAATGAAGGCTTTGACCTACATGCCACTAAGAAAGAGCTCATCTTCCCAATCCGCTCCCATCCATGACTTCCCCCGCCCCACACGCCACGTGAACTGCGTTCCCTTATATCGCTGAGTACCCTGCAAAGGCGCGAATGGCAGAGAAATGAAATCCACAAACTACGACACACCCCTACTTTCACGGAGTCCCGTAAATTCACTATCCCAAACAAAGCAAAACCCTATCACTATTGCACTGGGCGCACAAAGGGGACAACCCGTTTCAACATCCCGGAGAGGAAAACCCTAATAGACACTCGATATTCAGTTTAGAACAGGGATACATCTGGCGGCGCACCAACTGTTCACGATAACCGAGCCATGAGACTTTTCACATATTGTATTGCTCCAGCGTATATCACTCCGCTCCTCAGAGAAACACAGCCAGGTTCACTACTACCCATCCTCACATTACAACGGACAAAGCCTCGCAGCCTACAGCCCGTAATTTTCGTCGACCCGTACAGAGACCTCGGCCAAGTGGCAAAATGCTATACAACTTTACGAGAGCAATTGCCACGCGCACGAGCGCATCTTGAATCACCATAGACGAGGTCCGACTAACAATTCAAAAGTCAGTCAGCCCGATTAGACGAACGTCCCTCCTAGAGATGTCATCCGCCAATTCCAGGGAAAGCGTCCAAGGAAGATAACCGCATTTCACCACAGAAGAATCTGCTGTGCACAGTTCCAGTTGACGTCACCATCGATGGGATAGGGCCACACCTAAGATATCGCTTCGAATTCTCCTCGCCCGTTCGGAAGACAAATTTCTAAAATTCCTCGATGCGGTCCTACAAACCCTGAATTATGATAATCTCTTCTCGACAAGGCGAGAATCACTCGTTAACGCCTTTCACGACTTGCTGAAAGGCGTGTCACCTAATCCTCGCTACAACAGCCATAATCCAGGCATCGTGCTGATTGCTGATATCGGCCTCTTTTTTCGATGTGATGCCATTATCCCACGAAATCGGCGAGACCTCGTTACCATCCAAATACTCATTGGGGCGTGACAAGGCGTGGTCAGCGAACATGCTTCACAGCCCAATAGACAACCATTAGCGGCGAAGTCACAACTCCACGAAACGAACGCCACACACGACGATCGCCCATTCACTTCAACAATGGCAACGACAACCCATCTCCTATCCATAAGCACGACGCCTGAGAGATAGAACTCCCTCCGCAATCTGCCTACACCTCTTCGATTACCGGCCACCACATACCTCACACAATACAATCTTCCAAGGATACGCAAGTGCAGAACTAACACAGAATTCACACGGGTCTTCAAAGACCTGGATAACCGTAATACATCGAAGCTATCATACCGGACGAGACCGAAACGGCAGTGCAAACAACACGCAGTATTGCTACCCCGAGTCCTTAACAGTACACAGCGACGAGCAAGGGGCTGCATAACCCGATCTACATCGGAGCACAGCAAAACAGCCCGCAACCTCCTGTCGCTCATTGAGCTGTATACCCTGTTAGTAAGATCATTACCACTGCTGCTATCCCACTACGACAGCATGCTCCAAAGACCGCACAATTGTTTATCATGTATACTTCTCAGCCCACCACCTTAGAACTATACCTTAAACATCGACTTCCACCGCTACATCGAGTTGTATTCTGCATGAGCACTGCCACACCCCAACGTTCATACCACACTCCCTTCCACTCCCGGGCCTTCAAGATACCTGCATATCCTGCTCAGATGATGTCACGTCACAATCGCCCACCTATCAGCATCGACCAACACGGACTATGCTTCTCGCCTCCACAGCGCCTCGTGTAAGCAGCTACCTAGCGTTTCTCCTTCAACCGCTCCACTCGCCATCTCATGGCCGAATCGAAGTGGAGCCCTTCCACACATCATTCGCTCTTATATCCGTTCCTTCGATCTCTCTTCCAATCCCACCATGCCGCTTGATTTTGACACCGAGAGCATTCATCCCACATAACACCCGCAATTCGCCCTTTCCTCGACGCTCACCAGCTCAATACACAACCGTAATCAGACTCAAAGGCTAACCTGCGCAAAAATAACTACTGATGAAACACGTTGCAGAGAGACAGGGAGGCAGAAACGAAACTCACCATGGCTGAAGCTTGCTGAACAGACGCAACGACGAGGCAAACAGCGCTCACACCACTACCCGCGCTCACGCAACACGAGTTCACAGCCGACTCACAGCCGACCCACGAAGGCCCATCACCTCGGCGTTCAGTTGTATATAATTTACCGCCGGGGGTAATCAGATCGCCAGGTCTGCTGGCACTCCCATTCCGGCCCAGTGGAGCCGCGCGAGCTTGACCTTGCCCATGAGCCTGCCGAAAACGGGGGGACACTGCCAGAGAATTGCGATTCTTACCGAAACCCCGATCTCAATTCGCTCCGGCCCTTGGGGGACACTCTACCGGGGCAAGGTCCCACTTGCACGGATTAGGAGATTTCGGCCGTTGATCTCGGCTATCTACGGTCTCTATCTCTTAATTCGTGCTAGTGGGACCTAGCCCCCGGTAGCAGCTCAGTTTCCCCGCACGGCATATGGTTCACCGGCGGAAGGGACAGCGGCTAACGTGGGCTAACGGTGGTGGGAAGTCGCGGAGAAGAGGGGGACAACAGCCGGAGCAAGAGCACGCCGCGAGCAGAACAATGGCAGCAAACAGGTTGAGGGGTCTGATCCCCTACTCTCAGAGAAAACCCCTTCTTTTTCGGATATACATGAGGACAACCAAAAAAAGAAATCCACATCCAGCGTCCTAGCTCCGTTGGTAAGGCAGGCAAGTGGCATTCAGGAGGTCTTGGGTTCAATCCTCATTGGCCTCATGCACTTTCCTGGGTAAGTGGTCCAACTGTGGACTGTGGACTTGAACCTGTGATGGGTTGTTTTTTAATAGTGGTAGCCGTCATCGTTTTTCTCAATATTCGAAGTTTCTAGTAGTTCTTTTTTTTTTTCTTTTCTTTTTTTCTTTTTTCTATATCATGGATGTCCACAGTGCGATTTCTACCGACAGACCCCTGAAGAGGCTGGGCTTGGTGACCAGCCGAAACCGGTCGGGTCATGCGCCAACCGGATCTTGTGTCCGTGCATTGTACTTCCCGTTAACTTTTACGTCACGTTCGGGTTTTCGTACTTGGACTACCTTTTCTCTTCTCTCTCCTCTCTCTTCTTCTCTTTTCTCTCTCTCTCTCTCTCTCCCTCTCTTTTTCAAAGGTGATTTCAGTGTGTCTGCAGCTCTGCAGGATACATGTATGGTTTTGGATGTGTCCCCATCGTTTGCTTGTTGACTTCTCCACGTATTGAGTTTGTCTGTATTGACAACTTGATTGCCTTCAGGGAACCCCCAATGGGGAACACCGGCCAGGAGACAGAGGGACCGAGCATCACCAGGGTGGCGTTAATTACCTTCAGGGAACCCCCCACCGGACAACGATGGCAGAGGGACCGAGCATCATCTGAGTGGCCGGTCGCTGTGCCTCCCTGACTTCCCCTCACCAGGGTGGCCTTGATTGCCTTCAGGGAACCCCCACCGGACAGCGGTGGCAGAGGGACCGAGCATTATCTGAGTGGCCAGTCGCTGTGCCTCCCCGACTACCCCTCCCCCTATGAACATCAGGCTTTTTAATGCCAATTGGGGGGAGCAAGGGACTCTCTATAGGTGGCGAGTGCCAAGCATGCCCAGGAAGGTACATGAGGCCAATGGGGATTGAACCCAAAACCTCCTGAATGCCACTTGTATGCCTTACCAACTGAGCTAGGTCGCTGGATGTGGATTTCTTTTTTTGGTTGTCCTCAATGAGGATCATGAATATCCGAAAAAGAAGGGGATTTTTTTTTATGGTTGTCCTCATATCCGAAAAAGAAGGGGTTTTCGCTGAGAGTAGCGGGCATCATCTGCCATGTGCCTTCCCAACTACCCCTCCCCCTATGAACATCAGGCTTTTTAATGCTAATTGGGGGGAGCAAGGGAATCTCTAGAGGTGGCGAGTGCCAAGCATGCCCAGAGTGCCAACTTAAACGTCACAAGATCAAACCTACCTCCCCCAAAAAACTTAGGCTCACAACCAACTTTCCATCCAAACCGGTACTGTAACACTACATACGTCACATGTTCAAATCCTACAATACTCATTCCTCAACAATCTATGCAACTTCGATCCCACCAATGATCAACAACTAAACGTACCAACTACAAAAAATCCACAAGACAGGAAAAAGAAAGAAATACAAGAACAAAAACAGAATTAAAAAAGCACCAGAATAGCACCGCTCAGTCAGTTACCTACCACTAGTACTACACTTATGATCTCGCCGAGTCAACACATCCACCCAATATTTCCACAAACCACCAAACTTTCGAGAAAAATTAGCCAAAGATTGATCAAAATACTCGTCAGGATATCCACGTCGCCACAACTCAGTTTTGAGGGTGAATAGAAAGGAAAGTTCGGTGTCGGCTACTGATGAAAACCGACTCGCTCTGTGTAAAAAAAAAACAATAACAGTCATTTTTTGCTGCTTACATGAATAGGAACAAAAATCTTGTATGCTTTGAAAAATCACTTTTCCACATACCGGTCCTCGTTGGTTCTTATGGACTGGCATGCACACAATTTCATTCGTCCCTTCGAATGTTTTTAGGACACAACCAAGGTAGTCCCAGGAGCTCCCGTTGTCAGTCTTCTCAAGAACAAGATTCTTATCGTAACATGATTGAAACTTCTTCAAAATACTCAGTGCATGATGAAATGTCGAAGCATCTTTCTTCTTGTATTTGATGAAGACTGATACATCATCCACCAATCGACACCCTGCAAATAACGCCCGATCTTTACCCAATGACTTCAAAAAGGTCCACTCACTGTATGTACACAACAAGCATGCCAAAGCCGGACTTGTAGATTTTCCCATAGGAATTCCGACATGCTGCTGCAGCAACATATCTGCGGTCATGATAAACGTGTTACTCAACTCGTACTGTACAAATGCAAAAAGCAACGAAAAATTAAAATGAAGCCACCCAACTTCTTTCTTTCCTTTCACAATTTTCGCCTCCTTTCCTCTAGTCTTAACAGCTACGGCATAAAATCCCTCATTCTCCCAATATCCAATTACCCATGCAACAACACGAAGGATAGACGGGTGCGGGGGATTGGTGAACATCTCTTTGATGTCAAACGACGCACCAACCAGGCCATCCTTCCGACCAACTCGTCCATTGATAAACTGAATCCTGTCCATCAAATCTTCAGTACAATGAAGGTTCAGATTGGAGCTGCTCAGAAGTCTCCATAGCAAATAATTAATGGATCTTGAAATAAGCTTACCTCCAGCCGCAGAGCATTTTGGGTAGGAGGGACAAATAGGTCTCCATCGACTGGTGTCCTTGTGCTTAGGAAAGCAGTACGCCCTACCAAACTGCCCATCTTTGTTCCATCGCCCGACCTGATAAAGAGAAGTCTGTCGATAGACCAGTGAAACGTCTTCAAGCACCTCCGACTCCTCCTTGCGTACTACAGAGAAACCAGTATTATCCAAGAACAAGGACCTCTTCCCCTTCTCGTACACCGTAGGACAACAGCCAAAGGTATCGCCTAAATTATGATCTAAAGGACACAACACCAAACCTTCCAACTTGTCACAACATTGCAACACTTCTTCTATACTGCAACCAACGATTCATTCCTTCACCTTCAACAAGCACGCAGGAAGATGGGAAAACAGATAATCTTGGGAATTACAAGGAGGTAACGAAGAGTCAGCACGAAACGCAGCGAGAATTTCATGCTTAACTGATATCAACTGAGAACGATTAGAGGGTCGCACTATGTTCTTGCTATTGTTCATCCATTCAGGAACAAATCCAGTTTTCGAGAAACGGAAGGCTACATGTCCATCAATTCGTGGAAAACGGTCATCCATAGAATTACACACACAATTAAACGTTGAACCTCGTGCAACACGCCTAAAGTTGTAAACCAAGTCACCAATAGACCGGTTTCGACACCATACAACATGAAGTCGTCTGACCAGCATATCCTTCCACACCTCCGAGATAGGTAAGGACCTGATCAAACTAGCACACAACTGTCGAACGCCCACCTTACTCACTGTCTCGTCATACGTCAACCTAACCACAATCTTTTGTCGTACTTGAATACTAAACCAGAATGAAATAGCTCTTGACAGAATACATCGCAGTCTGCCCCGAGTTCGCTTCTTCGAAAACGTACGAATAGCAGAAAAAGCTAAAATCAAGGAATCAAGAGGTCAGGACACCAAGATTGTGCGAGTAACAGGTCAACTAAGAAAGTTGATCAGAGTAGGTTTGTAGATAAATGTTTTAGAAAGAAAGGAAGTGACATGCTCAAACACCAACACAACCCCGGGCTTGATCCATCCCCGCACATGCCTAAAAAGTCCACAACCATACTGACCGGATATAATTGATCCACCAAAAAGTCGCCGAACCACTTTTCACTTGTCAGTCAACAACGTCCCACCACAACACTTGACCGTACATTGGACCCTGCCGCTAGCCCGACAGTGATCAAGAATACAGAGGAGACTAAAAGAAGAAAGACCGAAGTCGGAACAGAAAAGAAGTAACGAAAAAGAAGGTTCGACAACGAGACAACCACCACCCTCCCGCTTCTTCTTCCTTCGACGTTCCCGAAGTCCTAATTTTCTCTTCCTAGATCGTTTGACTTTATCATGTGAAGTCAGCGCCGGTGACAGTAAACGAATTAAAAAACTTTTTACAATGAGCCAGATCCTCTTTTGAACACAGACAAAGAGGTAACACCACATAATTTTGCACCCCGTTCCTTCTCATCCACCTATACAGTTTTTCATTCCTCCTGCCTGTAGCAACCATCGACGTATTAGTACTGCGATAAACATGTTCCCCCCATCTCGTGTGCAAATCACGCGAAGTACTCCCTACATAGATCTGACGATACCATGGAGATACGAGCACATACACAAGAGGACCCCACATCGAATCCAAATCCACACCAGCATAGACCACACGTCGTAGAAATCCACACAACTTATTACCCCACGCGACGACATGATTAGAGATCATAAGAGCAAATTCTACACACGCCAAACTACTCACCGGTTTACTCCGAACAAAATCAGTGGAAGCTAACCTCAATTTGATACACCATCTAAGCAGATTCCAGAGAGTCGCGCTCGGATACAATTACTACGAAGTTGCCGAGTCAGGGAGAACCTCGGTACTGCCTTCATTTACCTGCTCAGGTCCGT